CCGCTCCAAGTTTCCCGACTTAACAGTTCACTGACAATGCAGTATTTACGCACGAATTTATCAGATCCCGCCTCCAATGCACAGCTACCTCCCCCACCTCCCCAAATCATCGGTGAACGAAACTCCCGCAGCTACAATCACTGTCCGACAAGTACGCGAATCTTACAGCTGACAATGATAATGATGGCAAAAGTGAGTAGTCTCTTCCACAAACCCGCCTCTCTGATTCCCCAACCTCGCCAGCTCATTAGTGAAGCCAGTTTTGATCATCAATGTCACGACCGCATCTGAATAGTTCCAATTACAAAGAGCCTGTAGCTTGTAATTCCTTTGGTTATTTGCGCAATCTCTAAGCCTGGAAGAAAAAGAGTTCAAATACAAGGCTTTGAGAGCTCACAGGCCAGGTAGACGTTATGTTTTTTCTTCAATTTTTGCAGCGTATTAAGTTTGCCTCTCCGGTGTTGAGTCCCCCATTTCTGTAGGTTAACCCTGCGAAGCCGATCTTCATTCAGCCGATTCGAACACGTGTGGAACTACGTTACATACTCTATTAATGTTGTTTGGGAAAAGATATATCTTCCATTAGACCTTTTTGTCGCCCAGTCTAGTCCATCTATTGGCGGTATACAATTTAAGAAAAACCTTAGCATCTACGGACCAAGTATTGCCCCAACAGATGCTCAGAAGCTGCAATGGTATGAAATTTCCCTGGGGGTATGATAGAGACTGACGTTTCAGCCACTTTAATTAAAGGAGCGAGTCAACAAAGCTGTGGGCTGCAGTGACTCCGGAGTGTGGCACTTCGACAGCAGACCTGTTATCCTCAAGGTTCTGACTTCTAGCTAGCTTTTTCCCACATGGTCTGGAAGGCTCGGGTTTACCAAATTTCGTATTTGGATCGTTCACTCTAATGTCACTAACGCTTCTACACCGCTGCTGTTTGTTCTAACGCAGAGGTCTTGCGCTATACTCGCTTCCACCTCTCAGTATACTGACGTACATGTATTTGTGGATTTTCGGTTTGGTTAAAAACTGGCAGCTCCATGCGGCAAACTTTTTGAATGCCTTCGGCAGACAGTGATGTGATCAAACCATGGATGTTTTTGGCACTGGATACATTTTTTGACGGAGATCCATGTTGCAAGACGAAATACTCCTCTGCTAATCAGTCCACTTGAGCTACGGTTCTGAGGCACTGAAGACTTCTCAGTTTGGCATCATCGAACTAAACCTCACGACTGCTCCTGTCTAGAGTTAGACAACGTGGCTGCATATCGGCCTTCGTGCTACCTTTGGTTGGCCAGGCACCAACAATGTGTTGCAGCCAAACTAAGACGCTGAAATGAACCGCCTTCGATGTATCAAATTGGCAGACGTAATTTCGACCTCGGAGAGATGTTCATGTGCCAAACTCGCTCTCCTTACCCTAGCGGTTGTCAAACCACTCTTATAAAAGAGCCGTCTTTATTCACGCCGACAATGAAGCTGAATCCAAACTCGTGACTTTTAATCCTGTTTGAAAGTGCCGAAAACAAACGGCTTTCCTGTCCAGTGTTCACACCCACTACCCAGATGTATGCTGCGTGGTCTGTTTTGTCTGGAAGAACTAATAAAATGGGATTCTGCAATCGATTTTCTAAAATGGTGCTGCGGATAAATACATACATAATAGCCGCTGGCTATTCGCACAATGAGATTGATTTCCCGAAATCTACGGCATTTTCAGACTTGCCACTTCATAGTGTAGAATGTCTATGTATAAGGTACATGCTCCTGTATTATTGAAAATCCTTTACTATGGCGATTTGTTTAAGTGAACTAAATCTGCAGGTGAACAAACACCGCCGACTTTGAATACCTTAACGGATGAAAAAAATCGCGAATTGTGGAAAAGGTTGACTCACATACAATGAACGTAACTTTCAGGTATTTTTCCACCGGAACAGACTTCCTCAACATTCTAGAATCTAAATGGCCTTTGGAGATGCAACTTATGAACAGGCGCATTCGTGCAAACAACTTTTGGCCGATGATTCCTTGTTGCCAGTGGTGCACGCTAATTATTTGCTAAACATC